CAATGTCTTATGCTGCTTTATTGTCACAACATAACTGGATTGATGGATTATGTTGATAGCCCAAATCTTGTAGTAGAAATATTAGCCACAAAGCTTCACAAATCCCAAGTGCCATTCCCCTAAATTCTGCTTTGGCGCTTAAGCGTGCCATAACATTCTGTTTCTTACTTCTCCACGTGATTAGATTATCTCCTACAAAAGTGAAATAACCAAAAGTAGATCGTTTGTCATCCATTGCTCTAGCCCAATTAGCATCAATATATGTATGCACATTTTTGCAGTCCTTATTTCTAGAATTATGCATGAACTAACTGACTATACTCAATGCATAAGCAAGATTTGGCATAGTATGAGACAAGTACATCAATCTTCCCACAAGTCTCTGATATCTTCCTTTGTCAACTAGTACGTAATCAGTCTTGACTCCTAATTTCAAGTCTTCTTCGATTGGTGTATCAGCTGGTTGACATATTGACATACCAATTTTCTGCAGCAGATCCAAGCATACTTTCTTTGTGATAGAAAGATACCTCTGTTAGATCGAGACACTTAATTATGAGAAAATATTTCAAAGAACCTAGGTCCTTCATCTCGAATTCTTCTGATAAGTACTTTTGCAGAGCCTTCCTTTTTTCTTGATCATTTCTTGTAACCACCATATCATCCACATAAACAATAAATGCAGTGATCTTTCCTTGATGTTTTTTAAGGAATAGTGTGTGATCTGAATTGCTCTGATGGTAGCCAAAAAACTTCATAGCTTTGGTAAGCCTCCCAAACTATGTCTTCAGAGATTGTTTTAACCCATACAGTGACTTCTTTAACTTGCATTCCTTTTCGCTATGGATCCTTGGTAAAATACACCCTGGTGGAGGATCCATATAGATTTCTTTAGACACTTCTCCATGTAAGAAAACATTCTTCACATCGAACTACTGTAATGGCCAATCCAGGTTTGCAGCCAAAGATAACAAGACACGTACTGTGTTGATTTTGGCTACGGGTGCAAATGTCTCTATATAGTCTATCCCATTAGTTTGGGTGAACCCTTTTGCTACTAGTCTTGCCTTAAATCGTTCAATTATACCATCAGCTTTATACTTCACAATGTAAACCCATTGTCATCCAACAATCTTCTTTCCTAGTAGACGATCAACAAGTTCCCAGGTCTCATTCTTCTGTAATGATTTCATCTCTTCATTCATAGCAGCTTTCCATTTTAGATTAGATAAGACTTCCTGCACACATTTAAGAATAGATACAGTAGATAATTGATTTACAAATGAAAAATTTGATTTTGACAGACGATGGTTAGACACATAATGACTCGTGAGATATTTAACATTACTAGATGACTCAGGTTCATATGTTGGTTTAGGAATCCCTCTAGTACTCCGTTGTGGTAACTGTTTCCTAATTGGTTTAGACTATATTAAATCAGACTCTAAATCAAGAACATTTGTAGTGAATAGTGGTTCTGATACACCATGCATGAGAGATTCGGACATTGTTGACTTTGACCTCTTTTTTAACACTAACTTTGACTCTTTTTTTACTTGGACTTGGACTTTGACCTTGACTTGGACTTGGACCCTGACTTTGACTTGACTTTTCTTGTTTATTTTTTTTTTTTAAATATCAGTTGAGAATAATTAAAAAAAAATAAAGAAAATAAAATTGAAAGAAAAAATAATAAAGTTAAAAAACAAAAACTCTCAGACCAACATGGACGGCAGTTCACGATGGCGCAGCAGCGACCGATCAGAGTCGCTGGTACTAGATTGGAGTTGATGTCAGTAAATTAGTGACATTAGCAACAGTTGGAGATGGTGGCGACAATGGTTGAGACAATAGCAAATCGACGGTTTCTCGGTGACAAGATGACGACAAATTGGCAGTTTCTCAGCGACAAGCTTCAGGTCAATCTGGGTTTTTTTTCATTCTATTGATTTGGTTTCTTCCCTTCTTGGCTCAACAATGGCAGCGTGGTGGTGTTTCTTGGTGATTGAAGTTGTTTGGGTGAATGGGTGATGATGTGGATTTACGGTAGATTGGTTGAAGGTGGTTGGAGTTGTTGATTTGTTTTGGATTGGGATTTTTTGGTGTTTTGTTGTTTGCAAGGGCCAGTTGGTGGCTGGGTTGGTAGGTTTTAGAATTTAGATTGCTATGTTTTCTCCTTTTCAAATTGACGATGGCTGATGGTAGGATTTCTTGCTAGTTAATTTCCTGACAGTCGCTCTAGAGTGAGCAATTTTTTAGATCAAAGAGTAGCTCCGATACCATGTAAATTTGAAGAATTGTATTTTCAATTTATTGATTTATCACTAAAAAGTTACACCCTTTATATAGGGAGTCTATGATCTCCTAAATCCCCTAATTATGTCAATTGCAGATTACACAATATTCTGTCTGACATAATTAAGAGACTACATAATCTCTAGAATATTATGAGATTGTATGTCTGACATAACTAAAGGATTACAAAATATTTACATGATTACAAAAGATTTACACAATATTATGGAAATCTTAATAATAAAAACTCATTACAAAGCAAAACAAACCCAATCCATTGCAAAACTAATAATATTATCTTCTTATGGATTTTAGTTTTCACAATACCAGAGAGTCTAAGAGGAGATGGAGTAGGACGACGACCGACGAAGAAGAGGGAAGAAAGCGGCGAATGGCAAGACAACGAATGGATTTGCGATTTCGATTTTCCAAGTAAAAAGGCAAAGAAGTGTAACCTTTGTGATTTAAGGATTCTAATTTCTTATTCCCAAATCCTTTTTTTACTTAGTTGAATTAGGGATGAAATCGAGTCGAGTCGAGTATCTAACTACTCAAACTCAACTCGGTTGCTACAGTACTGAGTTCAAGTTCGAGCTTAAGCGATGGAGATCGATCCCAAACGTTCGATCTCCATACCTTAAAGGGATACTCGAGCTCGGTTAATCAAGCTTTTAAGCTTGAGTTCTAATTCGAGCTCAAGCTTGGCGAAAAAATCTGATTAAAAAAAAAAAAAAAAAAAACCAATAGACAAAATGGCAACAAGACTTAGAAACGTTTCATTTGCTTCCCAAAACAATTTCTCACAAATACAAAACATTTCTTCCTCCTATGTCTCTTTACAAACAACACTTACATTAGTAGCCAGCAAATACCATCTCCAAGGCTCCACCCGCTACTACTACCCACCACCAATTACATTACTCTTTTCTTTCAGTTTCACTCTTCCTTAAACGAGGAAATTCAACCTGCAAAAGACCATCTACATTAACTCTCATGGCTGCCTCTACCACTACCAACCCCATCACAACTCCTCCCACTTTCCAGCCCGCCATAAAAAAAACAAGATAATCGTCATTATGGATGCCACCGGAATCGGAAATCCTGCCTTTCTATCAATCTCGCCACTAAGTTTTTCATCTTGAAAGTAATAGGGGAGACAAGGGCAAATCGGCAGAGTAAATAGACACAGAGGTTTTAGTTTTAGAGTTTTTTTCATTTTCAAAATCCCCAAATCGATTTTTATATATTAGGTGGATTTGCAATTTTAAAAACTATAAAATTTCATATGGCCCCTATTAGTTTCAAAACTATCAAACGCACCCTCGAGCTCCTTGAAACTCGTGAACTTTTCAAATCAATCAGGGTTGTGTTTAAACTCGGCTCGACACTGTAGTTGAGCCAAGCTCGAACTTTATTCGACGATTTTCGAGCCAAGTCTAGCATTTAATGAGCCAAGCTCAAGCCGCTCATGAGCGACTCGACTCGACTTTCACCCCTAGTTGAATATGGGTGGATTTACAAATTTTAAAACTTAATAAATTTTATATGACCCTTATAACTTTAAAAACTATCAAATTAATCCTGTAGCTTAGAAAAACTCACAAACTTTTCGAGTCAAGTTTTACCGTGATCAAACTTGACTTGAAAGCCTATTCGAGCTACTCGAACTCAGTCGAGTCGAGTTTGAGCCTAAACCGAGCTGAGCTCAAGTTGCTCACGAGTGGCTAAGCTCAGTTTTCACCCCTAGTTGGGCTCGGACTCGTCCTAACTCGACGTTACAATTTCACATATGGTAGTTGACAAACTCGACTTGTGTTGTGTAAGCTCAATTCTCATCCATTATTGTAGGCTTCTCAAATCAATACAAGAAAAGAGTTGGTCCCATTACGCGGGGCCCTGGCTAACTAAGAGGTGAACCAAGGTCTGGGATAATGCCTGAGGGTAAGTTGGACCATTAATTGGGTTCTTTTAAAATCCAAGGGGTGAGTCGAACTTGCTAGCGATAGTATTGAAAGTCCTAAGATGCAAACACGATTTAGTGGAGTTTAATGTTATCATTCAACATCAGATGAGAATGGTTTGGGATTTGGACTAAAGAGATGAATAAGTAGCATCACTTAATAAATTAGTCTTTTAGGTAATTGATAACTACTCTAACGTATGAATAAGTAGAACACTCAACATTCAACAAGTTAGTCTTTTAGGTAACTGACAAGTATTTTGGTATGTGACATCAAATATAATTAAACTTAGGATGGGTCACGAGCATGGTTTATACCCGAGCTCCCAAGTTTGGATATACCTCGAGTCAAGCCCTAGCTAGCTTTATCCAACTCAAACTTGGAAACATTATATGAAGTTTTATTAAAAAAACCATAGATAACCTCTTTGAAGACTATGATAACCGCTGAAATTATAACACCCATCACTAATTACGTCAATTATAATACAAAGTCCAAATTCGAACTCTATACACATATCATCATTATATTTATAGTTTTGTATATACTTGAATAGATGTGATTCAACATATTATTCATAATTAATATGGGTAGATTTTGCATGTATTAAACACTTGGAAGATGAATTTGCTAGGACTCGCACGATTGACACATTCGGTAGAAGGGCACAGAACTGTTTTTTCTAGCCTTATTAAACACTACACTGACAATGGAAAGCAAACATACCATCATGCTGTCACTGAATGAAACAAACATATCATCATTTTGTCACTGAATGAGAACGATCGATGCCAATTCCTCAAATTGAATATTTGTCATTGTTCCTCGTTCAAATCTGTCTGGCCTAAGCTCTAAAGTACAAACACAACAAAGCTGAGAAGGTAATATTACTACAAACTACTCTTTGGAGGATTTATTAATGAGGGATTTGTGAATGTGCGGGATAACGCCTCCACCAGCTATGGTTCCTTTGATGAGAGTGTCAAGTTCCTCATCTCCTCGAATTGCAAGCTGCAGATGCCTAGGCGTAATACGTTTCACCTTCAAATCCTTGCTAGCATTCCCTGCCAACTCCAGAACTTCTGCTGTCAGATACTCCAAAATGGCTGCTGAATAAACGGCAGCTGTGGCTCCAACCCTTCCATTTGCTGCAACCCTTTCCTTAAGTAGACGGTGGACTCGACCAACTGGAAACTGCAAGGAGAATACACAACTGACTTAGAATAAGAAACTGAATGCAATTCTTGAAAATTAAATAGTGTAATTATGTCTGTTCAAGCACAGATTTTAGAATCCAACATCCCACTCAAAGCAAAAGACATTAATTTGGAATAATTTAAGCATCCAATGCCTATTATACCTAAAGCACCTGTGGTAAGATGCAAGCTCTGAAAACAAAAACATTTACATACCAGAACCTCTTGGTTAAAACAGCCAAATCAGTCAAAACTTTTATGCTTGTGGCTAATGAGTTCAATTAAAGTGATAAGTATTTTGTTTAATCTAAAACATTTATTGTTTATGTTGTCAAAAATTCAAAACCAGTCTTCAGTGGTCAAATTCTTCATAAAAAGTTCAGCGGACTACTAAGTTGCTTCCCTACAAGCACTATTCACCAACTCATATCAGGGAAAATCATGGGTACTTCTCCAGTTGGGGTCATTCCATATTACACTCAGAAAAATTAATGCCTTCTCCATCTATCAAAAACTATATCCACTCCTTCCCTTTGTCGATGGTTTCATGAAAACAAATCAGCCTGAATAAGTATTCCATTTGATGTCATGAAACAATCAAACCCAATAGCATCCAGTCAACTTAGGATCTTTTTACCTTGCCTCTTTAGCCCATCCCTGTTATATATTATCAACCACTTCAAGAATGAGTTCACATTCCTTTTGAATCACTAAGAAAAATTACATGATCAACAATTCCCCAAAAAAGATCCACACGGCCTGTTACTTTTCTGCTCCAAAAGAATCAGATAACAGAGTGGACGGAGCTATGAATTTCTCTAGAACAAGAACCTTACTATAACCCCCCAAAATTACCTATTCCTAAAATGATTGCAAAGAAACCACTTACGCAACCTTAGATGTATAATCATTGGGACATCTCATTCTTCAAAAGTCTCCAGAGCCTTTTCTAAGCCGAGTCCACCTTAAAGTTACATTATGGACAATCAGTTGAAAAACTTTCAATCATCAAAACACAACGTTAGTCAATCTTTCCACAGTAACCAACCACAGTTTGATCCGAATACATATTTCTGACCAAAAAGCATACATTACCCATCACCTAACAGCAATTCTATAGATATCCGTAAGAGTTTCAATTCATTAACTGGAAAAAATAAAGAATCAGTATAACACAAAATAAACCATGAATTTTGCACCCTCGAATCAAATCACAGTAAAAACAAAATCTCAGCGTCAATAACAAACTCAGCAAAGCTTTGACTTAACTTTAGCCCTTTGACCAACTAAACTAAACCGTATCAAAACCACACAAAAAATATAGCATAATATTGATCCAAACGTCCACGAATGAAAACATACAGACTTACACTCACCAAACATATTTCAGTATATTTCAAAATATCCATAACAAAATATCATCTTTGAATCTTCAAATGATCTAAATCAACTAAAAAAAAAAAAACTGATACGAAACAAGTAAAACCAATAATCTAGTGAAAAGAACAAAGAGAAACCTGGAGACCGGCGCGAGAAGAGCGAGAGATAGGCTTCTTCTTATCCTTATCTTTGTTAACGGTGGTTTTGCCGGTAATCAAACCCTTAGCTCCTTTGCCTGACATTGTCCCGCCAAAATTTCAGGGTTTTTATATTATTTATTTAATTTATTAATTTAATTTTTACTAAGCGAAGCAGAGAAGGAACGAAGAGAGAAGAAGCTGAAGCTCGAGTGGGAGACAGACACAAGAGAGACAGGGTGCGAAGAAGAATCTAGACACCTTTGTTAAGGAATTTATATCTCTCTTTTTTGACGGAATTACCCTTGCTATTGTACGAAATTTCCAGCACGTGGATAATATGGATTTTGTTTGGATAATGTGATTCGGATGTGACCCGACCCTTATTGGCCTATGATTGAATTGCATTTTGGTCTCGGGCCAGGCCCATTTTCACCTTAGCCCATGAGTATTTTAGATTACTTCAAGAGCAGCTTTATTTTATTATTTCAACTTTAATGAATTAACAATAAAATAAAACATACCTGAAAATTATAAAAATTCTAATTTTGAATTTCATAAAGTTATTTATAAAAAATAAAAATATGGTAAGCTTATAGGACGATAATGTCATGAAATGTTATTTTTCCTGGACCAAAACATTTATAAGTATAATAGAAGTTGTTATATTTAAAATAAAAGTAAAGGACTTTTTCCTATTCAAATAATGGTTTAATGACACTTTCCACCTACATATTTTTAAAATACTATTTTACTATCCAAATTTATATTTTGTTTTCAATTTTGACATCGTTGCGATCCCACACTACCACTATTCTTTTCCTCAATCATCACACACGATGACACGAAAACCCTTCAAACCCTTACTCTCGCTGACCCCACCAATTGCCGACAATCGAGCAACTAAAGTTTGTATAACCGTCTCTCCCAAGTCAAATTCTAATCAATCTCAAGCACCAAAATCCAATATTTTACTACCAAAAAACTCATCAGTCTCCTCTCTTCAAAAATCTCAACAACCTAAACCGAGCTTGCTCTTTGTTCATTGTTAGAATATAAATTTGGATAATAAAGTGGTATTTTAAAAATTTGTGGATGAAAAAGTGTTATTAAATCATTATGCAAAATAATCCTTAACTCTTAAAATACTGTGATCTTAGGTAGTGATGTGATAAAGAAAGTATATTGAATGATTTTGATCACCAGCTTTATGCCTTTTTCTTTTATTTATTTATTTAGAAAGTGTTTCATCCATTGGGTCCCAGTGATAAAACGTGATTTTCGACTTTAATGATTTCCGTGATTGCAAATATAAATATAACCCAAGTTATAAAATTGATAAACAGAGTTAGTTTCAAGAGTAAAAAAACAAGGTCTAAAAGAACATAGGCATCAGAAAGTTTGGCTGAAAAACATTTGGTTTAACAGCAACCAGAACTGAAACAAGAGCAGTCTATTATATTTCCACAGGACAATCCACCAAAAGGAAACAGACTCTCTCTTGCCCACAACTAGTTAATCAAAGCATAGTGCACAACATAGCAAAACAATCCAAATTAACTCTCATTGGTCAGGTTACACATCTGCGGCTTTATCTTTCTCTCCGGCTTTCCCTTCTTTGCCGATATGAAAGCCCTCGATCTTCCGAGTTACCTCATCGGCCGAAACCTTTACTTTTCCGGTAGGTCCGTTTGCAGGATGTGAGTCATTCTCTTCATGATTTGCAGGACCTGTTTGCCATATTCTAATCGTGCCATCTTCAGATCCTGAAGCATATGATTCTCCTCCAGGAGAAAACCTTACACAATGGACTGGACCATGGTGACCTTTGTTGCATCCTACAGACACAATAAAGAAGCATATAAAAGTTATAACCCCAAAATTTTATTAGTAAGGCGCACTGTATGCCTCTTTACAAAAAAGCACTCTAGATGAAAGCCTTTTCATTTCTTATTCAATTTATTATAACTATGTTATTATTTGTGTTACTAGAGTCATATTTCCTTCCTTCTAAAACTATGTCCACTTGAAGACGGGAAATGGTAAATATGCCTATCCTCAGTTGGCAATAGATAAAGAACAGTGATACTATGGAAATGAAAGGGCACTAAAATGCAGCGCCTTGATGCAGAATTCAAATACCACACTAAAAGGAGCACCTAGATACCATCATCCATGTGATTAAGCAACCACCGCACAATAAATGAGCCGGTTTAAGACATCTAACAGTAAAAAATGATCCACTTTAGGCACCAGAATTTTATCTAATAATCACCCAATTCAGATGAACTTACCAATCTCTTCTCCGGTATGGAAATCAAATAAATGGACCCACATGTCTTCTCCTCCGGCAATGAACTTATTGCCAAGTTTTGGTTCCAATGAAGCTGATTCTACATTGCAGGGCATATTGTAGCTCTTCACCAATCCAAAACTGAAGAATAAAAAAGCAAGAACTAATCAGCCATGCCTGAAAAATTAGCATGAGCACCAAAACTATTTGATTTACAACTTACTGATTTGCGTCCCAGAACTTAACAGTAAAACCATCGGCAGTAGTTATATAGCGACCATCCCGACTCACTTCAGCACTAGTAACAGGCGACTTGGTCTCAAGAGTTTGAACAATTTTGCCACTTCTTACGTCACATAGCCTACAAAGCGACCAAAAAGCAATGAGTCAATGAAAACATTGCTGCACCAAAAGAAAACTGTACAAAAGATTCAGGCAATTGTATATGCCAATATGCATATCAAAATCGAGAAAACCAGATTACTTTTAAAAAAAATAATGAAAAGTTACCCCCCAAAAAAAAAAAATGATGATAATGAAAATAAGGTTAAAATCCAACCTGCATTAGGTCCAAGAGATTACAATTTGAATAACAAAAACACCAAACTATTCACATAAATCTCACGTGTACCACAGGTTGCTAAATTATTGACAATCCAATGACAACACCTTGACAAAAGGTTACTTAAGTGCCTGGCCAAAGTCCAACATCTAGCAATCAGCATGAGAGAATATGCATATTCATTTAGTTGCTCTCATGATAAATCCTATCAGAAAATATTTCTGGCTCAGGTTTCTCAACCTATCAGAAATTTAGAGAGCCTAGTTTTGGAGTGATAACTTCAATTGACATTGCGTACTTCATAAATATCCTAGAGAGAATACCTAAATGCATTAAGAACTTCGCATAATTACCAACCCTGTCACAAAAATTTAATTAACATATAACTGAAGGTCAGATTCTGGTTCTTAACCTTTATTACTTTCATTTTGTTAGATTCTGCCAAATATTAACAGAATTTATGCTGTGGATAGTGTTTCACGAGGTAAACAATTCTGAAAATTTTCTATATAAGAAGGGTGCTCATTAGTTTTACATAAGACTAGCACATAATTTCCAGCATCTCATATAATCTCACTTCATATCTCAAGAGGTTCAATACCAAGTCATCCATCTAAAATTTTTATTACAAGCATATCAGATAAAACCAGTACATTAATAATTTAAATCCAATTTACCCAAACAAAAAAGAAACCACAGAAACCAAAAAAATGATAATGGGTCAACTAAATTACTCTTCCATACCTCACACCACCAATATCAGTACAGGAACTTAAGATTGTCTGGTCACTGTGAAGCCATGCGACAGTTCTAATTGAACCAGGAGAATTGTCAACTTCTCTTGGAGGTGCATCTGGACGGTTCAAATCAAATATACGAAGAATTTTCTCAAATCCACCAGTGAGTAGAAAGTGTGTGTCCTGTGCAAAGAATTGACTTATTGCAAGTACCAGGCAAGATATATAATGCTTCAAACTATTTCAAAAATTCATGATGCAAAAGCCTAGAACCAGAATTCATCTTTTGACAAAATATTCCCATATAATCTAGATGGCCTAGTACACCCAAAAAAGTGAAAACTATGATAACAAATCTAGAAGAAGACTTGGTACAATAAGATGGCCAGATCTCAGATATTGAGTATGATATGCCTTTGCAGAGAATCAAAATGTACAATGTGATAGTCTTATTACACTAAGAAAATCAAATTTGCAATAAAAATTAGCTAAACAAAGTCTAGAGCATGCAAATAGCAAAGGAGATACAATCAAAAACAGAATCCTTAAGACTTGAGGAAAAAATATAAATCCACCTCAGAAAAAGCACATGCTCGAACAATATGCTTGTGTTCAAACGAGTGCTTTTCGTCCCCAGTCAATGCATCCCACAGTTTCCTACAAAAGATAGAGAACCATAATCTATGGCAATAATATATAGCATATGATGATTTGTTTAAAATTTGAATCTTTCCAATCAGCTCAGACTAAACCTTTTTATTATAATTAACTCACAATTGGCTTAAAGTGAGGAAGTCTAATAAACACACACTTTGAATTGAATTTTAAGTTGAGTCGAACTTGCTAGCGATAGTATGAAAGTCCTAAGATGCATACACGATTTAGTGGGGTTTAATGTTATCATTCAACATCAGATGAGAATGGTTTGATTTGGACTAAAAGAGTGAATAAGTAGCATCACTTAATAAATAGTCTTTTAGGTAATTGATAACTACTCTAACGTATGAATAAGTAGAACACTCAACATTCAACAAGTTAGTCTTTTAGGTAACTGACAAGTATTTTGGTATGTGGACATCAAATATAATTAAAATTAGGATGGGTCACGAGCATGGTTTATACCCGAGCTCCCCCAGTTTGGATATACCTCGAGTCAAGCCCTAGCTAGCTTATCCAACTCAAACTTGGAAACATTATAGAAGTTTTATTAAAAAAACCATAGATAACCTCTTTGAAGACTATGATAACCGCGAAATTATAACAACCATCACTAATTACGTCAATTATAATACAAAGTCCAAATTCGAACTCTATACACATATCATCATTATATTTAAGTTTTGTATATACTTGAATGAGTGATTCAACATATTATTCATAATTAATATGGGTAGATTTGCATGTATTAAACAATTGGAAGATGAATTTGCTAGGATTCGCAGATTGACACATTCGGTAGAAGGGCACAGAACGTTTTTCTGCCTTATTAAACACACTAACAATGGAAAGAAAACATACCATCATTCTGTACTGAATGAAACAAACATATCATCATTTGTCACTGAATGTGAACGATCGATGCCAATTCCTCAAATTGAATATTGTCATTGTTCCTCATTCAAATCTGCCGGCCTAAGCTCTAAAGTACAAACACAACAAAGTGAGAAGGTAATATTACTACAAACTACTCTTTGGAGGATTTATTAAGAGGGATTTGTGAATGTGCGGGATAACTCCTCCACCAGCTATGGTTCCTTTGATGAGAGTGTCAAGTTCCTCATCTCCTGAATGCAAGTGCAGATGCCTAGGCGTAATACGTTTCACCTTAAATCCTTGCTAGCATTCCCGCCAACTCCAGAACTTCTGCTGTCAGATACTCCAAATGGTGCTGAATAAACGGCAGCTGTGGCCCAACCCTTCCATTTGCTGCAACCCTTTCCTAAGTAGACGGTGGACTCGACCAACTGGAAACTGCAAGGAGAATACACAACGACTTAGAATAAGAAACTGAATGCAATTCTTGAAAATTAAATAGTGTAATTATGTCTGTTCAAGCACAGATTTTAGAATCCAACATCCCACTCAAAGCAAAAGACATTAATTTGGATAATTTAAGCATCCAATGCCTATTATACTAAAGACCTGTGGTAAGATGCAAGCTCTGAAAACAAAAACATTTACATACCAGAACCTCTTGGTTAAAACAGCCAAATCAGTCAAAAATTTTATGCTTGGCTAATGATTCAATTAAAGTGGTAAGTATTTTGTTTAATCTAAAACATTTATTGTTATGTTGTCAAAAATTCAAAACCAGTCTCAGTGGTCAAATTTCATAAAAAGTTCAGCGGACTACTAAGTTGCTTCTAAGCACTATTCACCAACTCATATCAGGGAAAATCATGGGTACTTCTCCAGTTGGGGTCATCCATATTACACCAGAAAAATTAATGCCTTCTCCATCTATCAAAAACTATATACTCCTTCCCTTTGCGATGGTTTCATGAAAACAAATCAGCCTGATAAGTATTCCATTTGATGTCATGAAACATCAAACCCAATAGCATCCAGTCCATTAGGATCTTTTTACCTTGCCTCTAGCCATCCCTGTTATATATATCAACCACTTCAAGAATGAGTTCACATTCCTTTTGAATCTAAGAAAAATTACATGATCAACAATTCCCCAAAAAAGATCCACCGGCCTGTTACTTTTCTGCTCCAAAAGAATCAGATAACAGAGTGGACGGAGCTATGAATTTCTCTAGAACAAGAACCTTACTATAACCCCCAAAATTACCTATTCCTAAAATGATTGCAAAGAAACCACTTACGCAACCTTAGATGTATAATCATTGGGAAATCTCATTCTTCAAAAGTCTCCAGAGCCTTTTCTAAGCCGAGTCCACCTTAAAGTTACATTATGGACAATCAGTTGAAAAACTTTCAATCATCAAAACAACGTTAGTCAATCTTTCCACAGTAACCAACCACAGTTTGACCGAATACTATTTCTGACCAAAAAGCATACATTACCCATCACCTAACAGCAATTCTATAGATATCCTAAGAGTTTCAATTCATTAACTGGAAAAAATAAAGAATCAGATAAACACAAAATAAACCATGAATTTTGCACCCTCGAATCAATCACAGTAAAAACAAAATCTCAGCGTCAATAACAAACTCAGCAAAGCTTTGACTTAACTTAGCCCTTTGACCAACTAAAATAACCGTATCAAAACCACACAAAAAAAATAGCATAATATTGATCCAAACGTCCACGAAAGAAAACATACCGACATTACACTCACCAAACATATTTCAGTATATTTCAAAATATCCATAACAAAAATACATCTTTGAATCTTCAAATGATCTAAATCAACTAAAAAAAAAAAAAACTGAACGAAACAAGTAAAACCAATAATCTAGTGAAAAGACAAAGAGAAACCTGGAGACCGGCGCGAGAAGAGCGAGAGATAGGCTTCTTCTTATCCTATCTTTGTTAACGGGTTTTGCCGGTAATCAAACCCTTAGCTCCTTTGCGACATTGTCCCGCCAAATTTCAGGTTTTTTATATTTATTAATTTATTAATTTAATTTTACTAAGCGAAGCAGAGAGGAACGAAGAGAGAAGAAGCTGAAGCTCGAGTGGGAGACAGACACAGAGAGACAGGGTGGAGAAGAATCTGAACCTTTGTTAAGGAATTATATCTCTCTTTTTTGACGGAATTACCCTTGCTATTACGAAATTTCCAGCACGTGGATATATGGATTTGTTGGATAATGTGATTCGATGTGACCCGACCCTTATGGCTATGATTGAATGATTTTGGTCTCGGGCCAGGCCATTTTCACCTTGCCCATGAGTATTTTAGATTACTTCAAGAGCAGCTTTATTTATTATTTCAACTTTAATGAATTAACATAAATAAAAAATACCTGAAAATTAAAAATTCTAATTTTGAATTTCATAAAGTTATTATAAAAAATAAAAATATGGTAAGCTTATAGGACGATAATGTCATGAAATGTATTTTTCTGGACCAAAACATTTATAAGATAAGTAAATAGAAGTTGTTATATTTAAATAAAAGTAAAGACTTTTTCTATTCAAATAATGGTTTAATGACACTTTCCACCTACATATTTTAAAATACTATTTTACTATCCAAATTATATTTTGTTTTCAATTTACATCGTTGCGATCCACACTACCACACTATCTTTTCTCAATCATCACACGATGACACGAAAACCCTTCAAACCTTACTCTCGCTGACCCACCAATTGCCGACACGAGCACTAAAGTTTGTATAACCGTCTCTCCCAAGTCAAATTCTAATCAATCTCAACACCAAAATCCAATATTTACTACCAAAAAACTCATCAGTCTCCTCTCTTCAAAAATCTCAACAACCTAAACCGAGCTTGCTCTTTGTTCATTGTTAGAATAATAAATTTGATAATAGTATTTTAAAAATTTGATGAAAAATGTATTAAATCATTATAAATAATCCTTAACTCTTAAAATACTGTGATCTTAGGTAGTGATGTGATAAAGAAAGATATTGAATGTTTTGTCACCAGCTTTATGCCTTTTCTTTTATTTATTTATTTAGAAGTGTTTCATCCATGGGTCCCAGTGATAAAACAGATTTTCGACTTTAATGATTTCCGTGATTGCAAATATAAATATAACCCAAGTTATAAAATTGATATAAACAGAGTTTTTCAAAGTAAAAAACAGGTCTAAAAGAACATAGGCATCAGAAAGTTTGGCTGAAAAACATTTGGTTTAACAGCAACCAGAACTGAAACAGAGCAGTCTATTATATTTCCACAGGACAATCCACCAAAAGGAAACAGACTCTCTCTTGCCCACAACTAGTTAATCAAAGCATAGTGCACAACATAGCAAAACAATCCAATTAACTTCTCATTGGTCAGGTTACACATCTGCGGCTTTACTTTCTCTCCGGCTTTCCCTTCTTTGCGATATGAAAGCCCTGATCTTCCGAGTTACCTCACGGCCGAAACCTTTACTTTTCCGGTAGGTCCGTTGCAGGATGTAGTCATTCTCTTCATGATTTGCAGGGCCTGTTTGCCATATTTAATCGTGCCATCTTCAGATCCTGAAGCATATGATTCTCCCCAGGAGAAAACCTTACACAATGGACTGGACCATGGTGACCTTTGTTGCATCTACAGACACAATAAAGAAGCATATAAAGTTATAACCCAAAATTTTATTAGTAAGGCGCATTGTATGCCTCTTTACAAAAAAGCATCTAGATGCAAGTATTATGTTTTGGTTAAAGTCTTATGTTGTGGTTGTTATTTGAAGTTGTAGAGAGAAATCAAGCTCCCAAAGGAAAGGAGAAGTGTTAAAGAAGCTATTTTCCCCACAAGGTAAGTAAATTCAACCAAGTTGAGATTTGAATAAGTTTTTGAGTAGAAATTGAGTAGAGATATATGCATGTATGACTATGTATTATGCTTGTTGAAAAATTGAGTTGAGATGAGATTCTATTTTGTGGTGGTTGGATATACTTCATGTATGAGGAGTGTTTGAATGTATATTGAGAAGTGGAAATTGAGTTGAAGTTTGGGAGATGTTGAGTAAACCTATTTGGAAGTGTTTTCCTTGACAGGGT